AAGCTGAAAATTGGCCTGGACAGGAAGGGGGTAAAAGTGTCTGGACAGGAAGTGGTTAAACTACACCCACATTTTGCATTTTTTACTTTACCAATGCCTAGGGCCCACTCTTTATCTTGCACAAGGGCCCACTGATTTCATGATACACCCCTGACACCAAGGATGGGATTATGAAACAAGTACAGGGTGGTTCCACAATTTGTATACCTCCATCCTGCCCTTAGGCAATAACAGTTGCCTTTCTATGGTAATTGGATCAAGGTGTTGGCACTACCTTTTTGGATCTAAATGCTGGGGTATTTTCTGGACACTCATTAGATGTTTTGTGGCTTTGACAAGCTACGAAACAAGTTAAGAAACAATTTCTACTTTACAAAACAATTCCAGTTGAATGTGACTGATACTAGATAACCATGACTGAACAAATGAGAACCTTCTCACACATATAGACAAAACCGAAATTTTACTGGGGGTCACCTAATTAGTACTCTAAGAGATTTCAGAAACTTTAAACAATGTTTCAAACAGTGTTTTTAGACTTTTCCAGGTCACCTCTGTGAGCTGCAGAACTTGCCCGCCCTTAGAAAATGAGGAGAGGGGGAGGAGTTCTGTAGTATTAACACACTTTCTATTCTGGGTGACAATGCTGATTCTCAATAGAAAAAGTGCAGTGAGTGTGCATTGTTGCCCTAGGACACAAATTGCGTGTTGAGATCAAAAAGTGAAACTTAAAAGAAAAACGCATCAAAAGCCAAAAACTAATTTTTCTAGATACACATACCATTTGGGAAAATTCCTTATACAGTAACAGTGGATTGGTTTGCTGAAGTAGAAATTCTGGCAATTCGGTTCTGTAAAACCACCACTACTGGTTAAAGATACAGTTATATCCTTTTGTAAAGAGAGCAAACAGTATTCTATACTGGTTAATAGGAAGTAGGAAAATTGAACCCCAGACTCAACCATTTGCTGAGGGATGATCAGTTTATTTTCATCCTGACCTATTGATTACTGTTAACAATAGCCTTTTTTCTACAGAGGGGATAATAAAAAGCAATAAAATGTAAAAAGGAACCTAAGACATGATCTGCTAGCTGATAACTAGAATCCCAAAGATAACACTACAATATTTAATATTTTCCTGACTATAAAAAGAAAAAAAACATCAAAATCAATATATACTGTATTTCATTTAAAGTGATCATGTGGACTCACATTCTAAAATTGGCCCAGATACACTGTGTAGCCATCTTCAGGTACTTGCCTTCATACTCAGGATATCAAGCCCTAAAACCTAGGCTTCCTATTATGTAAATATTGGCCACAGCTTTCAGTGGTTGAACCCTCTTCTGAATCCTTCCAACCCTGAAGTCTTTTATGGGCCACTTAAGTACTTATTATGAAGGTTCAGGGCAAAAAATATCAACCATGAAAGCAGTGGTCAATGATTGCAGAAAAAAGTATCTGGGTTAGTCATTCTTGTGTGGTCAACAAATAAACCCAGGCACCGGGAAATGCTAGCTCTATGGACCAAAGGACTCTTTAGAAGGTAAGGTGAGCCCAGAAGTTCACTTTAAAACTTAAAGTGGTTATGATGGCAAAATGTTTTTTTACCTTAAAGGGTAACTCCGCTTTTTGTGGGAAAAAATAGCAAATAAAAGAAAAAAAAATAGCATACACAATTCCTACACAAGTCATATTGTATTTGGATGTTATTAAAACCTTTCCTTTACAAAATGCAATGCTGTAATTTTCTGTAAAATGCAATACAATATGGCAACTTGGAAATGTTCTGTACACAGATGGTGTATAGAACGTTCCCTAGAAATGTAATTCCTGCTTAAATGATTGGCTTACTGATTTTCCCAGAAGTCTGCACTAAGATACAATTCAGATTTTGAGCCTCCCCTGCAACAAAAATGTCATTTTTGGTGAGATACTCCCAAAGGGAAATCACGTCTAAAGGGAAGCAGGCCTTGAAACTTTCCTCATTAGAGCCCTATAGGTGCAGCAGCTGATTGATATTTATAAAACCAATCCTATTCTCTTTCACTTTGCACATTGACACAGACAAACAAACAGATGTTTCTTCAGAATAACAAAAGGTAGGAATCTGCTACAAGGTTTGTTAAAAAGATTTGCAATGTACATAGATCACACAGAGGGGAATGTTTTTTCTCAACAAAAGTGGAGTTACTCTTTAATGAATGCATTTCCTGCATTAACCACTTAAGAGCTGCCCCATAGCAGATATAAATATAATGATGTAAAAATACATGATTGTGCATTTCCAGGTGGGGAAGGGTGCACGCATTTCCGGCCAGGACTCGGTAATGTCAGCAGGGCTGAGAGGGGAGAGATCTGTGTCTAAACAGCAGAGAGATACAAAGCAGCATGCTCCCCAAGTAAAACACAACACAGCACACTGTTAACCCATTGATCGCCCTAGATATTAACTCATTCCTGCCCAATGTCATTAGTACAGTGTCAGTGCTTTTTATTAGCACTGATCACTGTGTTAGTGTCACTAGGGAAGTCAGTGGCAGTTAGTCAGTTCCCACCCAGTGTCAGAATGCCCACCGTAGTCCCACTGTAAGTCGCTGATCACCACCATTCCTAGTATAAAAATAAATAAAATTCCAGTAATACCACCAATTGTACACACTGTAAATTTCATGTAAACCAATTAATATACATTTAGTGGGATTTTTTTTAGCAAAGACATGTAGAAGAATACATTTTGTCCTACATTCATGAAGGAATTAAAACTTTTTTTTATTGGATATGTTTTTATAGCAAAAAGTCAAAAATATTGTTCCTTTTCAAAATTGTCTTTTTTTGTTTATAGTGCAAAAAATAAAAAAACCCAGAGTTGATCGAATACCACTAAAAGAAAGCTCTATTTGTGGACAAAACGGACATACATTTCATTTGGGTGCAGCATTGCATGACCACGCAATTATCAGTTAAAGTAACGCAGCGCCATATCGCAAAAAATGGCCTGGTCAGGAAGGGGGTAAATCTAGAGGGCAAGTGGATAAGGTAAAAAAAAAAAAAAACCAATCCCATAGCTCTTCTCCCTCCCTGACCCTAAACACTTACCTGACATCAGTCATGATCCAGCACTGTTCCCACCTGCAACCCAGTTTTGCTCTCCTCTAGCATTCACACACTTCACTGAAGGAAGTGGGAGCCATTGCCTTCAGCTGCTGTCAGTCAAATCCTGTGAGGAGGGAGTGGGAGCAAGGCCGACCCACCCTGTGTGTGTCTGTGGATGCACACAGCCTGACTTGGGAGCATGCCCACAGGAGTGCCCCCATAGCACACAGCTTGTTATAGGGGCACTTCTGGAATAGGAGTGGAGAGTGCCAGTGGGAGATCACCAAAGAAAGGATAAGGGGCTGCTTTGTGCAATACCAAAAAACACATCATAAATAACAAATAAATGTCACAGAAAATATTTGTACCTTTTCTGTCGTTTTTAATTGATTTTTCCTGTGGGGATTCAAGGTCACTGTGTTCAGTGGTGCAGGTATAGGATACTTCAGCGTCCCAGTCACTAACACTAATCTTGAGAGTGCTATTAACAGTATATTTTCCATCAATGCTTTGTTCAGGTTTCAATGTCACTCCCTGAACATGTTTTCCATCATCTACGCTTCCACTTGATGTTTAAAGATTCTGTAGATCTTAATCTTGACACCTCACAAGTCAGTTTTGGTTCTTTAGTGATCAGGTCTTTTGGGGAAGGAGGGTGAAGGACAATCTTTGGATGGAAACCAGATGTCTCTGAAAACGTAAGCCACAATGTAACATATTCATAGGTACTCATAGCTAACAAAAACAAATGGAATTACCGACAAAAAAAAAGTTTACTATGCCATTAATTATAACTTTGATGCATTATGATTTTCAATATTGCTTTTATAAACATTATCTAACAAATGTTTATTTGTTTCAGGGATTATCAGTGCATGTTTGGGGAAAATGGAAACTAAATATAAAAAAAAGGGATATGTCCTTTACAGCAGTCTCTTTCCCCTTTTAAATGTATACTTTTTTTAAATAACATCTAGAATTTAAAGAACAAACTCTCTGTTTTATCTTCCTTTGGTTTGGATACGCTCCTGACGTCCCAATAAATTCACAGTATAAATAAGTGCTAATGTACCATTTTACCAAAATTAGATTACACTTGTTCAGCTAGGCAATGGTCTGTCCTGCTCTCTTTCAGTAAATAGGAGACTTTTACATTTATTATGAAAAAAGAAACTCCTAAGCATCATATCGGTGACCTTATAAAAACTGAATTTCTTTACATTAAATATGTAGCGTTCACCCCCAGAGGGGCTTCTAACGTTCCCCACAATAGTGCAGAAGCTGCCATCCACAAGCATAGTTCCATGCACACTGATAACACAGGCTCAGTCTAGGGAATGTCTTTTTTAGAATTTATTGCTGAATAACTTAAACAGGAGAGTGGTTCAGAGGGTTCAGGATACTCTAAAACGATCAATATGATGGCAAATCCTTATAATAGGAGGCCCACACTAAAATTTCAAAATCAGGTCTTGCTCTTATTATCCTAGGAACTGTCTGCCACCCAGCTTCCATAGGTAGTTCCTCAGTGAGGGAGATAAACGACCCTTCTCCAGACCAGGACTTCAGAACCGCTCCCTCCAGAAATCGTCTCCAGGCCCTCTGCTGAGCATCTGCTGAGGCCCAAACTGTAACTACTCAGCACTCTATAGCTGCCTCCCAGGGGCTGCAGCTCCAGGAGAACTGGAATCCTCCTAACAGGAGAAGAACACTCTGAAAAGACCTCCCAAACATTTATCACTTCCCCAGCCACCTTCCAGGGATTGGCTAAGGCATGATAAATATCCATAACTGGATATTTGGCTCTCCCAACCCTATTTTCTGGAAGCTTCTTCTAGAGCCAAGTAGGAGAAATTAATCACTCAGTGCAGTGTAGCCAAAAACTTAAAGTGTTACTAAACCCAGGACCCTGCATTCACTATACCTGGTCTCCCACAGTACATAGAACATGGAAATGCAATTATTTTAGTAAATATAAATTGCTAAATACCTTTTCTCATCAGCAGTTAGAGCAGTCTTGTGACTTCTATCAGTGGCCAGCAGAGCACACGTTAAAGCTTTTAGGAGTTTTCTTTCTGCTCTACACATCAGTTTATCATTACCCTTCCTTCCTTTCTGCACAGGCGTAAGGCAGGTTGCAAAGCATACATAACTCAAGATATTTTATCATGCATGCTACTGTATGCAAACATTCCCTGACAGACTGGCTATCCCAAAGTTTTTGACAGATCAAGCAATGACCAAGCAATGTTAACAAATTTTCAGAATTGCCAGGTCATTTCCAACAAGTGTTTTTAATCCTTTCGGTAATGATAATTGTTGTGCATGTGTCTACAGCAGATCATGTTATTCTTACCTGGACATTTGCTTATGCTTTTTTCAATCGGGGTAGTACTTGCTGGATGGTTCACCTTACAAGTGTAATTTATTTTTAGCATCCCATTCCTCCTTGGGAACGCTAAGTTTGCTTGATGTAAATTTCCCTTGGCTATCTATGTATTGATTGCTGTTTGATGGAACACTAGAAACTTCCTTTCCATTTTGAAGCCATTGTATAATAATATCCTTTGGTGAGTTACCACTAATCAGACAAACAAGGTCAACCGAACCATTCAGTCCACAAGATGATTGCATAACTTCCACAGTGGGTAGGCTGGATTTAACTCTGCACCCTAAATGGAAATGTAATAAAATATTGGTCAAGTATAACAAGACAATTGTTCCACATATTCTTGAGGAAATTTATCAGACAAACAAGGTCAACTGAGCCAGTTAGCCCACAAGATGATTGCATAACTTCCACAGTTGGTCGGCTGGATTTGCACTCTAAAAGGAAAGTTAATAAAATATTAACCAAGACAATTGTTTCTGCATATTCTTGAGAAAATGAATTAGTGAGTAACATTTTATTATTTATAAGTGTCATGCAATTTTTCAAACACTAGAACTGGATTTTTGGAAAGATCACGTAGGTTATGGCTTAGGGTTGCCATATTCTGAAAGGGAAGGAGACTCATATTTTTCTGTTAGGCGGATCTTCAAGGAGATAATAGAGACTTTGTTTGAGTGCTTTCTACAAATTCTGTAACTTTATACCTCCTCTCCAATATTGTGCCCTGCAAAAATCCTCTCCAACTTGCTGCTGCAGCTGGTCTTTCAGTTTAAATACTGCCCTGTTTCTTTCCCCCCACAGCCACTGTCACATTTAAAATCAGCAGAGATCTGTGAATGAATATACTAGTCCTGTCCCACTTCAGCAGACAGCTTGTAGTTCTCAGTAAACTACAAGCATGCTGATCAGACACTTTTTCCAGCTTTCTAACTGAAAGCCCTCAGAAGGTATGGGCAGAAAGCTAGAGGAAGTGTCTTCAGGAGCCTGGCATTGCACCTGCGATCTATTGATTGCGGATGTGATATTTTGCTGGCACCTTTGTAAAAAAAATAATGTATATATTGTGCCTGCAAAAACATGTGCATTAAGTCACTGGGCACACCGCTGCAATTTAAAGTTGATTTGTGTGCAATTTCAGCGCAAATTCCGGTGTGATTTTTGAAGACTTTATTGCTACTTGTGAAAAATTTCTTGCAATTTTCAGTGTGATTTCCATTATATTCTATGCATGTGAAATCGTAACAAAACTGCCAAAAAAAAAAGTAATGCAAGAACTACTTTAGAAATCACAATGCAGCAAATCGCACATGTTAAGACACTGACATTCACATTCATTAGATGCAATTTCAGGTGCGATTTCAATTTGCAAATTGCACCTGAAATTGCACTGGTATGACTGGGCATTTATTTATTTATTTATGTATTTTTGACAAAGGTGAACTTATGTTTTGAAATAAAAAATAACTTTTTTTTCTTCAGAAAATTGCACTTAAACAAAGAATGAACAATGACTTTCCATTTCAATAAAATTTGGCTTTGCCAATGTTTGCCTAAATCACTCCACTATCATATATGGTTTCCAATACCATTTCTTTGCTAATGACACACAAATCTATACCTCTACTCCTCAGCTCACCCCATCTGTTTCCTCACATATCACTGATTTACTAACAGACATATCAGACTGGATGTCACACCACTTCCTAAAATGCAATCTATCCATAACTGAGCTCATAATATTTCCTCCCCCACGTGCCTCTTCCCATGATGTCTCGGCCAGGATCAGTAGCATCACTATCAACCCATCCCTGCATGCTAGGGTGCTAGGGGTAACCCTGGATTCTGAACTATCCTTTCAGGCCCACATTGAATCCCTGTCCAAATCATGCTGCCTCAAACACCACAACATCTCCAGAATACGCCCCTTTTTAACCAATGATACCACAAAGCTCCTAATTCACACCCTGGTCATCTCTCGCCTCGACTACTGCAGCTCCCTCCTTGTTGGCTTACCCTTACATAGGCTATCCCCCCTCCAGTCCATCATGAATACTGATGCTAGGCTCATCCAACTTTCTGCCAATCCCTCGCTGCCCCTCTCTGCCAATCCCTCCACTGGCTTCCACTCGCCCCATCAATAAAATTCAAAATACTAACAACAACTTACAAAGACATCCACAACTCTGCCCCCAGCTACATCACCAACCTGGTCTCAAAATATCAACCAAACTGCTCTCTTCGATCCTTCCAAGACCTTCTGCTCTCTAGTTCCCGTGTCACCTCCTCCCATGCTCGCCTCCAGGACTTCTCCCGAGCTTCTCCCATCCTATGGAACTCCCTACCCTAATCTGTCCGGCTATCTCCTAACCTATCCACCTTTAGAAGATCCCTGAAAACCTTTCTCTTTAAAGAAGCCTATCCTGCTTCTAACTAGTAAACTGCCTTTTACTTCCTCTATCAGCTCATCCCCCACAGCTGTTACCTTTTGTATCACTCAACTCTTCCTCCTAGATTGTAAGCTCTAACGAGCAGGGCCCTCTGTTTCCTCTTGTACCAAATTGTATTGTAGCTGTAATGTCTACCTTCATTTTGTAAAGCACTACGCAACCTGTTGGCGCTTTATAAATCCTGTATAATAATAATATAATAATATAGGAAATGATATACAAACTTTGGAAACCTGCCTTACGTTACAAGACATTTCATAGCTTCATTTTGTATCTGTCTGATATCCAATCAGAAGATTTATGGATTTCTATGATAACTGTTATTGGTAGTATACATCACCCTGTTATTGTTTTTAATTGTACATTATTCTTTCCTTTGGAATACATGTATTATCTAACTCATTTGATCTGTGATCTGTATACTGGCAGACCTTTACATTTCTATGTAAGGTATCATTCTATGTAAGGTCTCTTGTGCTGATAAGTTACTTACAGAGTGGAAAGAGCAACTTTGCATTTGAATGTTCGTGGTGTGCTACCAGATTTCCCTACTGGGAAAAATGTGGGAATCTTTTTTTAATCTAAGCTTCTACAGGTATATGAATATCTATATGCTATACACAGAAAAAGATGAACTTTAACCATTTTTAAAATATTTTCTGCTAGTAACACTGATTATCATAGTACAACAGTATAACAGTCTGTTGCTATACTTAGAGACACCTTATTTGTTTATTCTTTGTTATGTTTTCAAGTTAACTACACCAATATTGGTGGAATTACCAGTAGAAGAAAGTATTTTGCTCCTACCTGTTATAGTCTTGTTCACTTTATTACTTGTGCCCTTGTGATCCACGTTACATGTATATGGATTTTTTTGCCAGTCAGATGTAGAAATAGTCAGAAGGCTGGTTGAGATATACTTTCCGTCCTTACTAAGTATACCAGGGAGGTTTTTAATTCCAGTAGTTATGGAACCCGAATTCCAAGTAACATCTACAGGAGCAGGAAGGTAGCCAGTAGACAAGCACCCAATGGTGACTTCTGTTGATGGGGATGAGGTATCACAGCAGGGTAACATGGGGAAAACCGATGGAGCACTTTGCTCAGCTGTGGATTAAAACAATATTTTCTACGTTATTAGATCACAGTGAAAAATAGCAAAGACTATTAGTTCATGAAAACTGCATATAGAAAAATGATGATGTTGCTAATAACCAATATTTTCCTCTGATTTTTATTATACATATTGCAAAGAATGAAGGTACCTTTTTAAACACCACCTACAGAGACGCAATGAAGAGTGGAAAACAATATATTTGCAATTAATATACTGTATATTATTGGAAGATAGGTTTTCATATCATTGGTTCCTTTGGACGTAGTAGAGCTAATTGTGGTATGATTAAAACATTTGCTAGCAGCATAAAAGGGGTAAAACGTAGCAGCACATTTTAAATTACATGATTTATATCATACTGTATATCCCAAACTAGATGTTCAGGATATAGCAGTAATACCTTTCAGATCTATCATATGGGTTTACAGATTTCTACTGAATCCTCACATATTCAACAATTTTTATGAGGCTTCCAGTTTCAGACTAGCAATTGTCACACAAATTAGTTGTCAGTTCTCTTAAAGTATTTTTTTAAGTCAACATTGGTTGAATTACAATGCTAAGACCCATTCACACACATGGGTGTATGCTGTGATTTAAATGTTACAGCTCATTAGGCAGCACATTTGTATGTGTTGCCATTGACTTTTGTTCACATGTGTTATAGCATATTACAATGCATGTGTTAAAATTTATCCTTGCTGAATGATGCTTGATATTATTGTCTCTCAGTTGGCTGTTATGAGTTGAATTACACAGTCTTACATTACAATTTCATTACAGACTGCTCTCTCTTTTGGTATTTTCATCTGAATTTTTGTAGTTTTGCCTTTCCATTTCCAGTGTAATTCAACCAATGGTTTTTACATCAAGTAATATAAGAGATTAAACTGGATAAATGTGAATTATCATTTGAGTCATAAACTGACTATAGTAATCCATTTTCTTCATTGGCTCCACTTTCTAACAAACCTGCCATGAGAGAAGTATAAGGACCACCATTTTTTACATCCTTTCAATTATGCTAGTTACCTTTAATATAGGCCAACATACTGGTTTCAGTGATTTCCGTATGTATGTAAGAATGTAGAACAAACACATTGTAGGAAAGACACAAGTCCATATCTGCATACTTTGTTACAGGTTAGTGGGACTGTATATTTCAGCCTGCGAATCAGTATGGCAGCCAGGCAACTATAATT